GTACCTGGAGAGAAGCGAACGGCTGCTAAGGAATGGGAGAATGGGCTAATGGCTACCTGGAGAGAAGCGGACCGTTTCAACGGGAGGGATAGGGGCCTATGAGTCCGATGCTTAATTACTCGGTCTCTTTTTTTGTCAATTTAAATTCTAGTCCTACTTTTGTCCACTCAAAAGTCCATGGTATCATCTTTGTCATTATTTCATATGTCAATGCCTAAAGACCATTTGTGGTGGTGGAGAGGTCAAATGTTGAAAATGGACTTCGTCCATATCAAAACAGTGATTAGACTTCTATTTTTCTGCATTTCAGCACCGTCAATAAAATACACTCTTCATATTTTTTTACATATCAGTTTAGTAAAACATTAATTAAATTATTATAAGTAATGTTTTCCTTTTACTTTATTCCCTAAATAATTATGAAATAATCAATACACATTTCGATGTAAAAATAAATAAATTTCACCAATTTTTTTAACGTTTTCCGGTTAACAAAAAATAAACTTAGTTCAAATAAGTTCGATTATGGAATATTTAGTTAAAATTTGGCTTAATGTTTTTTTGGCTTTAAAACTCCAGCATTAAAATTTTAGGTTTTTTGAAAATCTTTTATATATGCAATATAGTTGTCCAATGAAAGATCATAAAATTTATAAAATTTGATATATTTTTTTGTCACTACAAAAAAAACACGGGATTGACAGGGATTTTGGCACGGATTTGGCACGGATTTTGGCAGGGATACGCCAAATCCGTGCCAAAAACACTTTGGCACGAGCTATTTGGCACGAAAAATTGATAAGTCCGTGCCAAATTCCGTGTCAATCCCACCTTTTTTTGTAGTGTGTAAAATTTGGAATATGAATAAAAAAGTTACATACGTCCACTCAACTTCATTTAAAAGAAAGCACGGTCCCTTTTTACATTCTTTATATGACTGGACTTTTTATGATATTTTAAGAGATTAATGTTTTGTTTTTCTATCAACATATTTAAGATGAACATACACTAATTTTACAATGTGCATTGTATTAAATTTGGTTGAATTAATTGAATTTGATAGATAACAAAGATTTATTATACAAGCTTGTACAATGATCAAGGTATTCTTTTCAAAAGATACGAATTAGTTATCATAAATTATCTTATTGTTTAGAATGAGCTTATTACGTGTAAACTGTAAACTATTGAAATGAATTTTGTTCTATACTAAAATGAGTATAGTGTTAAAAATAAATGTGCATGAGCGAAACATTTACATAAATGGTTGAATATGCTATAGATTTGTGTAAATCCCAATCCGGATCGGATAAGGGCCTGAATGTCATCTTAACACACAAATACATAATAAATTCAAACAAAGTATGGAGTATCTATATGTACCCCAAGACTTAATTATGGTATACCAGAGTAACGAGAGTAATATCTGTACTCTATAATTGAGTTTTTAGAACAAAGAACACATAGGATATTAGAAGAGATAGAGAAAAAAATGCATATATCTTTATCTTAAGTATTGGTTATGAATTATTTCATTTCTACACATTTTCTATATATTCAACTTGATTACATACTAATAAGTTCATTGTTTATGAAATCAATTACATTTTAAGTGAATTTTGTCGTGCCACGCACAAATCAATTGCGTATTTGCGTACTAGTTATTCATAATGTATATAGGTAGAGTTGTTATACCGTGGGAGCAACCCACGGTGAGCATGGTGCTCTCAAAGGTAAATTTGCGTGTTACTGTTCACGCGCATGAACAGTAACTTTTTTTCCCCTTGTTCCATCAGCAGAGTAATGTAACTCACGTGTAAAAAAATGTAACTCACGTTATTGATTTATGTAACTCAAGTTCAGTCGAAATGTAACTTGTCAAATACATAATTTAAGAAATAAAATATTGATTTCAATGTAAATAATGAAAAAGGAATCTTATTTTGCCCAATTATTTTTCAAAAAAGTGTATATGTTTTGTTTCTAATATATCAAGGCTATAAAAATGATTTTTTATAAAATTAATTTTTATTTGATGAGTTGCAGAGGCTTACTGAGTTGTGTAACTCGCATTATATTGTGGTGTAACTCGCATTATGAAAAATGTAAATCACATGTAAACTGAATGTAACTTGCTGAAGAAAGTTGACATGTAACTCACTCTAATAGATATGTAACTTGAGATAAATTGAAATGTAAATCATTTTAATAAAAAATTAGCTTTTGATATAAAAGATGTAAATACAAAAGAATTTACATGGATGACTACCCCTCTTGAAACCTAATCCCAATTACAATCTCAGTTTTGATTTTCTATGAGAATTTCGAGATCTTCATAACTATTTCATGCTTGCTTATCTCTTTAGCCATCTCTGTATACATCGAACAAAAATAAGTGCTCTGTGTGTGTGGCAATCCAAAGGTATGTGAAAGAAGGTCATGGGATTTTCCTTGAAAGTGGTCGTGGCCTATCAGTCTTACCCTGATTGCTCCATTTGAAATTTAGGTTTTCCATTCACATACTCTTCGGGCTTCGCCATTCGATTTCTCTGGTATCCTGCCGATTTCTTCAGTTCGATTGAATCAATTCATCTTCTTCATCGTTGTTTTTATTATTTTATTATGTTTAGTGAGAAAGAACAACGTGTTGCTCTGTTTTTAAGTGCAAAACGATACCGTATGGGATCGGCACACCATGCGCATCATGGGCCGATCCCACGGTATAATTTGCCATATAGGTAATTGAATAGTTTACTAATAAAGACTGCATTTAATTTGTGAGTAATCCAAAACAGGCAACTCTTATTCAATAAGCAAATGTTTTATTTATTGAATTAAATACTTCGTATATAAAATGTGTTCATCTGCTACCATAACGGTAGAATCATTGAATCCTTATGACCCTGCTTTTATCATTTTTCTTCACTGGTTTGGGGGATATTCAACCCTTATGACCTTGCCTTTGTCATCTTTCTTTGCCAAGAATGGTGGTACATATTTGCTTGAGTAGCCTCAGTGGTGTTGAACTTCCTTTTTTTTTTTTGGTAAAATACTAAAATTGAACTTCCTTTTGAGTGGTGGAGTGTTTGCATTGTTGCAGTGTCTAATTGAAGTCTCATTTGTGATGTTGTATACATGTTTTCATTTGTGCGTACTTTTAAACGCGTGACACTTGCACGCAAATGGCATGCAATCCATTCAAATATATATTATTCACGCATGTTGAAGACATGCTTCTTCCATAAATATGTTTTGTGTAAATTTACAGCTTTCTTGCTAATGTAATACTCCGTATTAACATGCTTTTAGACAGTAATACTTAAACACATGAATTGCACGCAAATGGCACGCCATGCACACATATAATAACTACATAAGGATGAAATGATTGACTTGTTATCGTTGTTGGTTGGTTGAGGTAACCGTCAATCTTTTTCTTTTATGAGATTTACCAAAATAGGAGTAAAAGATGAAGTAAATGCAAAAATAGGACCTATTGTTTTAAATTCCCTAAATAGGACTAAATAATTGTGTTTGGACAAAAATAGCCTCCAGTGTTGAACTGCCGTAACATTTGCGCGTAACTTGCGCATCCCAGCCATCCTCCTGTCTTCAGGTCTATGCCGCAATTCAACCATCCTCCAGTTCCGCACCAGTGTGTCCTTCAGCAAGTCCGCTGCCTCCGCCGCCTTAGAGAGTTCGCCGCCACCATCTTTCGACGAATGAAGCCGCCGCTCTTCAGCAAGTCCCTACAACTTCCATCGAGAATGCCACTTGATATGACACAAAAGTGACATTTTTGTCAAACTGGCAAAAACATGACATTTTTTATATCGCCATCTTCAAAACATAGTGACACAAAAGTGACATTTATTTCAAATAACCAATAACTATGACATTTTGTGATTCAAAAGTGACATTTTTGTCAAACTGGCAAAAACATGACATTTTTGTAATTTCAAAGCAATACTGTCATCTTTATAGATGTAATGCATTAAAAGTTGCATTTTTCGTATTAAGTACTTGTAACTATGTCATTCTCAATTCATAATTAATCAAATTTGGTAAATAAATAAATAAAATTGAGATCTACAATCGATCGAGCGTTGGAACCTAATTTTTCATCTAATTGTTAACAAAATCTCTTCCAAAATCTCAAAATCAAAATAATTTGTGTAAAATCTTAAAAGTAAGAAACTGTTAAAGTGAAAAAAATAGGAACTAGAGGACCTGAGTCGTACAAGAGAGAAGAGAATTAAGAGTGGAAGAGAAGGAGAAGAGAAGAGAAGGAGAAAAGAAGAAAAGACGAAGAGAAGGAGAAGAGAAATGAGATCGAGAAAATTACCTGGCTTGATCGGAGTCGGCAATGGGTCTGCGCATCTGGGTTTCTTCATCACAGATGGGTCTGCGCATATGGGTGTTGGAGTCGGCGAAGTATTCGAGGGTTTAATTAAAGGAAGGGCAAAAATGTAATTAGTGGTCCTATTTAGGAAATAATAAACTTCAAGTCCTATTTTAGAATTTTAACCATGTTTTAGTCCTATTTAGGACAATTTCTTTTTTCTTTTATGTGAACATTATCATGACACGTGGATCCAAGTTGATGACTATGACATGTGGTTTGTTAGGGGGTTGAGTGTAATCGTTGGATATTACATTTTTTAATTGTAAACGTTATAATCAAAACATGAAAGTGTTGAGTAAATAAAGACTAGTTAGATGACTCTAAAATACATTCAACTTAATAAAATAAGGGAAAGTACGTCAATTTGATTATCTTACTATCACAAAAAAAACAATTAAGTCATCATAGTTTTAAAAAAATCAATTGAATCTATTACCAGGGTACCCGTCACCTCAACAAATCACATGCCGATGTGGCACATATATAGCAGTCCAGTCTGCAATAACTTTGCTGACGTGACCCGTAGTCTCACACAAAGAAATGAAACCAGAAGAAAGAATAATCTCTGAAACAACATCACTTTTTCCATATTGTAGCCATTATATACCCGCACATGCAAATATTAAACACTTGCAATTAAGCTCAAGCAAAAAAATGTAACAATAAACTGACATGGAGATTCATTAATGATACCCAGATTGGCATAAAAAAGGAGCTTAAGCTCAGTTACAACTTAGTTAACTAATCTACACATTTGATGATGTCACGCGGGCTCCCTTTCCTCATCTAGCATAGCTGCCCTTCACATCTACACCCTACCCTCATTCCCTGAACAAAGAAAACAAATGACAAATCATATCGCCTGAACTAGAAAAGCAAAAACAAAATTAAAAACATAAACTAAATAATTTGTTCAGATTGTGACTTTTATGGAGGGACAAATTAACTTCACCAACCTCTGATGATTAAATAGGAAAAACTTCTATTTAATTTAATATTATTTTTACTATATAAGCTAACTAAAGACGTGATAAAAATTTCTGTTATTGTTGCCACCTCCACTATTAAAGTGCAACTGTTAAAACCGATCTTAATACAATCAGTAGAAAGTGTAATAAAAGAACTTATATTTGTTTCATGTTATAGAAAACCGGCATCAAAATAAGACTCCTGGTATATTAAAGAGGTGTGGTTGGTTGAATAATTACTTCCATTTCCCTGATGACTAGCTAGCACCATTGGCCCGTATCTCATCAGAGGGTTCTTCCTCTTCTCCATCGCCAGCGACGGTGGAAGCTTCTTCAGAGCCACCAGGAGGCACCAGAGCTGAAGAGCTAGACGGCGGATCATTGGAGGAAGGAGAAGGTTCAGTGTAGCAAAGCTCACCGAACAACTCGAGAACAGAAGGAGACTCTCGGTCACGCGTCTTGTTTTCAAGGGCTGACAACCGCTCTTTGATGTGTAGTTCCTCAAGAGCCTCACTCAGGTTATGCACTCCCTGCGTGGCGCCAACCCGAGAGCCCGACTGTCTCTGCTTGCGTTGGAGCTCATGAAAGTAGAGCTGTTCTTTCAGGGAAATAACTTCCAGGAACTCTTCCATGCTGTATACAGATTTGGAAGCCATGGAAGGTTTTCTTTTTTCAAGGTTTTTCTTTACAATTCTACTAGAGATAGATGGCAGCTGATCGAGTGCAGCTTGGTGGACGAATTGAAACAGGATGAAGGTTGCATTTATAGGAGTGGGGGACTGGGGTGAGTTTAACGAGTTGATACTAATTACAATTACTATCTCGTTTGTTCATTAAACTAAGTCTATTAGTTTTACAGAGGCCATGCAGCTAAGTCAACATTAGCTTTGGACACTTACGTAAGTATTCTTATGTGTACACTCCTAATTATACTAGGCTTAAATATTAAATGGGTGGGCTAAATGTGAAAAATGAAAAAACTTGCACTAAAAAAATTGAAAAATTTCTAAGTTGCCCTGAGCTTCAGCCTACCATAGCCCGTACATAGATCCTCCCCTGCTCCTAGACACCTATTACTTGTCATTCTTACGTAAATGATGACCATGAGTTTAACTTTTCATCATACAATAATTATGTCATATAACAATGTCTACTTATGTCATATAACAATTTCCATCATTTGAAATGGAGCCAAAGATTCATTATTTTTTGGCTTGAGAATATGACGGAATAAAGCAAAATGGCTCACTAAACTATCTGCGCTTCTTTGTTATAAAGCAGCAGTCAGTCCATGCAATTTTGGACGCGATTTTCACTACGGGTCATCCGGAAACAGTCTCTCTGTGCTTGTACAGGGGTAAGACTGTGTCTTCCGACCCCCTTACCCCACCGTAGGTGGGAGCCTTTGCGGCACTGGGTAAATGAAAATGAAATGAACAATGTCTACTAAAAATGTTCAAATGTTCTCCTGGACACCTATTACTTGTTTATTATTAAAAAAAACTTCATCCATTCTTAAATAAGTGCAACGGTCAACGTTTCACATTTGTCGAGGCGCAACTTTGACCATTAATATATATAACTCCCTATTAGTAAAAAAATTAAAACAATTAGATTTTAAAAACTTACAATGAGACAAATTTAGTAATATTTTTTCAAAAATATATATTAATACATCAATAAATAAAATCTAGTCAAAGTAGAACATGTGAATAGTGTAAAATTTGGTATGTTGCACTTATTTAAGAACGAAAATAGTATATTAGTGCACTTGATGTAAAAAATTAATGTTTTTGATATTTACAGTTTTTTGCATATCAAAGATAATGTAATATTAACATGTTTTTAGGTGCCTAGACACTCAAGTATGGTCTTGAGCCAAACTAAACAAGAATAAACAAAATTTGAAGCGATTTGGACCCAAAGGAAAAAAAAAACATAAACCCAAGTAACCCCACGGGCCACACTGTAATAATATTTTTAGTTTAAAATGATAGACGGTATATACGTGACATGAGAGAGATAGACACAAAAAATTAATTTTTTGAAGCAGAAAATCGGGACTTTGAAGCTTGAAGGAAGTACAAAACGGCTGACATAAAAGCAGAAACACCGGTAACTAGATGATATTTAATTTGACGTGTAACTTAAAATCCGTATATACTCCGTATATGCATTTATAAATTCTATATATTATACATATAACCTAAGTAGCATGGAAACGCGAAACGGGAAACGTGAAACGGGAAATGCGAGAAACGTGATTTCTAAAAAAATATAGGATACGAAATGTGGGGGAAACGCATAACTATTACGGAGTATAAAGTATAAGGATATATTTATAAATACTTTTTAATATATGTACACAAGTTTTTCCATATATGCACATGTTTTTTTTTCATATAATGTGTTTAGTAACCAAATAATAAAATCACTCTACATGCGAATTTAGATATTATTTCATATTAGTACATAATTAAACATAAAATGCGCGGAGTAATACATTTCTAGCAATACATTGCGTTAGAAAATGTAACAAGTGTTGCTGCTGAGAAATACCACAAAATTTCACTATTAAAAAAATTATTTTCCACCACAGAATCTTTAAAAAAGAAAAAAAATGGAATCCGAGGTTTCCGAAACGTAGTGAAACGGGTTTCGAAATTTTTCTTAATTACGGAAACGGCCCTGAAACAGGAATTTGAAGTTTCCGTGTTTCCGAAACGCTTCCGAGTTTCCGAAACGTGGAAACGTGAGCCGTGGAGAGTTTCCGTGCTTCATAACATATAACCATACATACCCAATTACCCATACATACTTGGTATATAGGAGTGTTCTAGTGAAGACATATATATACATGCATGAGAGTTTTTAAATTTCACCCCACATTTTGTTAATCAATGGTTATAATTTTTAAATTTCACCCAACAAGTACCCACATTTTTTGTAATTATTTGAGAATAATTTCCAAAAAAAATCATCGGGTTCCAATAATTACAAAAAAATATTATTAGACACTACAGAGTGAAATGGCTGACTACTCATTATGGGTGTTAGTTGCTTGTTTCAAGTAACCGAGTAACCGTTAATCATTTTGTTTTCTTTTTTCATTTTTTATGGGGACGTTACAATTGACCTGTAGAATCCGGTTGGATTATGGACGTTAATCTATGACTGTATGATGACATGTGAGTGTAAGAGTTCGTATATCGTACCACCGGTTGTACGTACATCCGGTGGCAGTTTTGCAATTCCCAAAACATTTGGCATCAGCCTGACGATTCTCTGGCCCAATTAATACTTTCAGTTTACGAGAATGCTACGGTACCTTCATCTTCGTCCTCCAATTTTTTCAGGAACGCAAAATACAGGGAAGACTTGCAGTTGCATGCTAACCCCACATCGGCCTCCCTTTTCTGGAGACAAGTAGCACCGTGGCTTAGGAGTGTTCCGGCGAAGAGATGGCGGCACGCTTCCTCCGCGATCAGCATGAAAATTCCAGTCCGGCAACACTCCGGTGAAACTTTCTTCGTCTTCCTCCTCTTCTGGCGACGCAGGCAGAGGTTTCAGACTTCAGTTTTCCATTTTCTTGCTCCTCACCTTCAAATTGCATGGAAGTGTATTACTTCTTACTGTAATATGTGTAGTATATCATAGCACAATAAGTTTGAGCCGTTTAACATGTCGAAGTAACGTAAAACTAGACTTTATTTGTGATGAAGTAATACAACCGTAAACTACTGGAAATTTGGAACGAATGTTACATGAGGTAGACCTTTTGCTCAAGTTGGTTGAGCATCAATACTTTTATTGAGCATTATTGCTATTTTGTTGAGTATTGAGAGTGTAATATTGAGCACAATATCTTATAATTTCTTTTCTTTTTCTTAATTTTTCTTTTATAAAATTCTTAATATTAGTGAGCATTACACATATTTTGGTGAGTATTAGAAGTCTAACAATGAGCATCGTGATATCTCCTTCATATCTTGTAATTTACTTTCTTTTTCTTATTTTTCTTTTATAAAAATTTATTAAATTATATCCATAATCAACTTCTATAAACTTCAATATGCGAATTTAATTTAATATGGTACTTTTGAAATATGCATTGATATGTCATTTTAAAATGAACATAATATCAATATCAAATGAGCAATAATGTAATTCTAGTGAACATCAGACCTATTTTATTGAGTATTAGGAGACTAACAATGAATTTCACGATCTTTGTTCATATATTCTAATTCTCTTTCTTTTTCTTATTTTTTCTTGTATAAAAACTTATTAAATTATATCTATAATCTACTCTTATTAATTTCAATATGTGAGTCTAATTTAATATGATACTTTTAAAATATGCATTGATATGATATTGTAAAAATGAACATTACATCAGTACCAAATGAGCATACATAACCACAAAGTGTACATTGATATGAAAATCATAAGGTTTTGTTAGTTGAACATCACGACATTTTAATTGAGCATCAAACACCCGTTATTGAGATGAAAACTACAGTTTCTTGTGAATGAGCATTAATGAACGTTTAATGAGCATCTGGTCTATTACATTGAGTATTAGGAGTCTAATATATGAGCATAAGATCGGTATCAGATGAACATAGGTAACTGACAAAATGAGCAATAATGATTTTGTTAGTTGGATTGTTATACTCATTTGAATTTAACATAAAAATCATTTCTATTGTGCTCAAGATGTGCTCAATATTCATTTGTGTATTGATATGACATTTTAAAATGAGCATAAAAACCAATATCGAATGAGTTTGCGTAACTTACAATATGTGAATGTAATGTAACACTCCGTATTATACTTTTGAGATATGTATGGATATAGCATTTTAAAATGAGTATTGAACTAATATTTGATGAGCATATATAACCTAGAAATGAGCATCGAAAAATTCAAAAAGGTTATTGAAAATATCTAGTATGCTCAAATTTTCATTAATGTATACTCATTTAAATAACAAGTGTTCCGTACTCCGTAGGTAAGCTTCTTATTCTAATGATGATTTATTGTGTCTATCATTTTGTATAAGGGTCCGAACCCTTCCTCCCCTAACTTGCACTCATTGGACTCAGAATTCACTGATTCATGCCTTTTGCTTGTCCTCTGTATCAGCAAGCCGATCATTATCCATCCCTGGCAGCTTAATATAATAACAAGGAGATCCATCAAACAAGTGAAAAAACATATTGAAGATGAAATTAATTTTTAACGTTTATATCAGCGAATTAAAGCATCAATTAGTGCAAAAACAGCATCCAGAATTCCACAGCATCAATTCGTTAGTGACAGAGTAATGCTGCATATTCTTTTCCCATGAAAAGGATCCTTACAATTGCCTAGTCTGGGAAATCGATGGGGGCAAAACAAATTTCTTCCTTCAGCGGAACTCTAGGAGAGCAGCGAGCCAGCAGTATCCATCGGAACTCCAAGACCGAGCGAGCAGCATCGATCGATCGGCGCCTCCAACTCCTGACATCAACGAGCACCACAAAAAGAGAAGACCTTGGAGTTGTAATTAATTGCAAAAATACCCGGTTGTACGGTGAGAACCGTACAACCGGGTGTACGGTATAATTTACGGTGAGTGTAACCAGTGGCGGAGCCAGAAATACGGTCCAGGGGGGTCGAGAATCAACTTTATACGGTCCGAGTTGAATATTTTATATGTAGTTTAGATAAATTGGCACTCG